AAAAATAGAGAGAAAATCTTCTTTGATTAAAAATGATAAGCAGTTACAGAATCGTGTATAAGGAAAAACCTTATATACAAATTAGAATAACAAACTAACTGCTTGCATAACAAACTAACTCCTTGCATCCAGCTGGCTAACTAATTATAAAACTAATTCTAGCTTAACTAAACAGATAAATATACATCATTTAATATATTTAATAGAAAGAGTTGGTAATATCGGATAAGATTGTGCATGGTCACTGTGAATGATTTAACTATCAATGAATTTTGTGTAGGTAGTCACTATTGTAAGACTATGAAATGACGTAACTATCATGAATTTTCTGTAGCTAGTTATTGTAGTTAGGCCATGAAATGTGATTTCAGTAGAATGCAAACCAGATGGCTGCCCTGGTCTAATTATCATTAGCTAATCAGTAGGCAAGGCTAAATGAAAATTTGGTTAATAGCTAAAATTTATTGTTTTTCCTAAATTGGGAAGTACTAAATTTACAACATCATGTAAGAGCCTTTACACCGAGTCTTTTCATTCAGTCTGATCAAAACCTTGGAAGCTTAAAGGGAGAACTTAGAGCCATACTTCCTCAAGTAGAGGAGATGCGGAAGAGAAAATGTGACAGAAGCAATCAATTCATTGAAGTTTTAGAGCAAATACATCAGATAAGAAGCGAGATTTACAGATCCACTGCATATACTCCTTCCAACACTGTTGTGGATGAAACTGATTTGTCTTTAAAAAAACTAGAAGAATTGCACAGAGAGCTGCAGGCACTTCAAAAGGAAAAGGTATGTCTTGTACCGCCAGTATCGTGTACTCAAGTTCTTGTGTTTAAAGATTGTTCTGTGACATGCCTTTTCTTAATATTTTCCTTGCACACAGAGTGACCGCCTGACGCAGGTTTTGGACCACCTGAATACACTGAACTCGCTGTGTTTGGTGCTTGGTGTGGATTTCCAGCAAACAGTTAATGAGGTTCATTCTAGTTTGAGCAAGTCTGAAGGGACAAAGAACATATGTAATGATACTATTGAGCAGTTGGCAGCCACAATACAAAGGCTGCAGGAGGTCAAAATACAGAGAATGCAGCAGGTAAATGAAGGTTCAACTTCTTTCCCACGACTCTAAAAGTCATTTTCTTTTAAATTTATAGCATTCATTAACCTTACAAATCGTGACAGCTTCAAGATCTTGCAACTTCCATGTTGGAGCTATGGAATTTGATGGATACACCAGTTGCAGAGCAACAGATGTTCCAGAAGGTTACCTGTAACATAGTTGCTTCAGAACATGAGATTACAGAACCCAACATGCTTTCCATCAACTTCATTAATTATGTGAGTCATTTAGTTTTTGAGAATAGGCCATTATGTTAGGTTTTCACTTTGTTATATCTCGCTATGCTTCCATCCGTTGGGAGTTCAGAGATTTTTTTGAGATAAAAGGGTAAAAAATGCAGGTTGAAGCAGAAGTGTCTCGGTTGGAAGAGTTGAAAGCAAGAAAAATGAAAGAAATTGTCTTGAAAAAGATGTCAGAGCTGGAGGAGATTTGTAGGAAGACACACATGATACCAGAACCCGAGGATTCAATGGAATTTGCTATTGAAGCTATTGAATCTGGTATTGAAATTTGGTATGAGAAGGAATAATGTTATAGATAGTAATGTCAATTTGTCTATGGTATATCTAATTTTTTGTCTTCTTTCTTTCCTGCGGCAAATAAGCTGTGGACCCCTCCAGTATTCTTGAGCAAATTGAACTTCGAATTGCTAAAGTTAAAGACGAAGCTTTTAGCAGGAAAGAGATACTTGAAAAAGTTGAGAAGTGGATGGTCGCATGCGAGGAAGAGTGCTGGCTTGAGGAGTATTGCAGGGTTGGTTGTTTTCTTCATTGTAGCATTTACTATATGTTCAATTTACGTAAATTTCTTTGCTTTGATATCATTATTGGTGCTTGTTCAGGATGAAAACCGATATAATGCCGGAAGGGGTGCTCATCTTACACTGAAGCGTGCTGAGAAAGCTCGTACTTTGGTTAATAAGCTTCCAGGTACAGTGCATCACACTTAGGTTACCAAATCTCTGGTTTGCTAAAAGCTTTCAATCAAGATACAAAACGGACAAAGGGAAGCTGGATTTCCATCATTGTTCATATTGCGCAACTCATTTGTCAAAATTTAGTTTCATCAAAATTTGCACTTGCAGCCTTTTGTGAAATTGAGGGACTAAGTATTGGTGTTGATTTTGAGTTTGTTAATAAATTTGCTTGTGTTAACTTTGAAAGATTAACATAATAATATTAGAGACAATATTTTGGGAGAAACATAGAGAGGTTAAAAACTTAACCTAGCCCTCATACATCACTTGTATTTATAGGTAACTNTTAGAATTTCAATTCAATCACTGATTCGTTTCGATCTCCTTGGAAGAAACGTTTTGGACGTTTTGAAACGATATTTTGATCCATGACTAAACTTAAAACGGGACAAGATTTAATTGATTCGGAACAAAATCGGGTCAGAAAATACGGAACGTGTAGCTTAATGAGAGCAAAGTATTAGGGGGTATAAATAGAGGAGAAAATCAAATTTTTCTTCCCATTATCACTTGTATTTTTCCAGAAATAGAGAGAGGAAGAAGAAAGAAAGCCAAAGGTTCTTCCAACTGCTCCATCCGATCTACGACAATCCGACCATCGAATCTTTTCGGACCAAGAACAAAAGTTATTCTATGCGTTGAGACCTACAGAAACATACCAAAGATCGTGTGTTTTGCCAAGATCTCAAAGATAGGATTTTTTGGGTCAAAGCTTTGAGTCGTAATTTGGAGTTTTTGGCACTTCTTCTATGCGAATTTATGCTTTAAGAGGTAGAGTTCCTTTCCTAACTAGATTTATATTCAACCTAGGGTTGAAATATGAAATGGTTAGGCTGTTAGAGATGAAATCTCTTGTATAACACATACCTAGGGTTGTTAGAATATGGAAATGAATATAAGAATATGTTTGAATCAAATCTTGCATGATTGGGGTTTGATGAAATTACTTGGTTTGGAATTTCATGAAGAACTTGTTGATTTGGGCACGCTATGTGTGTACATAATTTTTGTGTCTTATAGGTTTTTCATAAAATGTCTATGAATGATTAAGTGTGTTATTTAAGATGAAAATGATATTAACATGCTTAGTGGTGATTGTGGAATCAAATTATATGCTTTATGATATAACTGATATTTGAGAAATTGAATATGTTTGTGGAAATTATATATATTCATAATATGCTCATAATTTGATGGACACGATATTATAATTGTAATAGTACATTACGTTTGCATATGTAAAGATAGCATCGCATCCATAGGCATTCAACATGGGAGTAGGTGTGTGTACATGATTTTAATCTGTTAAGTGTAGAATATTAACACAATATTAGAGAGAAACAGAGATAGGTTAAAACTTAAACCTAACCCTCATACATCACTTGTATTTATAGGTAACTCATAATAAGAATTACACATACACACCCTCTTGTATTTACACATAATATCCTAACACTATTAGTAAATTACATATACTATCCTAATACTCTTAGCACTCCCCCTCAAGCTGGACTATATATATCATATAATCCAAGNACTCTTTTGTATTTACACATAATACCCTAACAATATTAACAATTTACATATACTAGCCTAATATTCTTAACACTCCCCCTCAAAGTGGATTATATATATTATATAATCCAAGCTTGGAACAAATCTCTGTAAGACGTGTACGACTCAATGCTTTGGTAAACATATCTACAAGCTGATCTTCAGATTTCACAAATAGAGTCGTAATCTCCCCAACTACTATCTTGTCCCAAATAAAGTGACAATCAACCTCAATATGTTTGGTTCTCTCGTGAAACACCGGATTAACAGCGATATGGATAGTTGTCTGGTTGTCACAGAACAAATGTAAAAGAGGTTGAACTAGAAACCCAACTTCCTGAAGAAAGTGTAGCAGTCACGTCAACTCACTCGTCGTATGCGTCATTGCCCTATACTCAGCCTTAGTATTGGATCTTGCTACCACAGATTATTTATTACTTTTCCATGAGACAACGTTATCTCCTAATAAAGTACAATAACCAGTGGTTGATCTTCGATCAAAAGGAGAGCCAACCTAATCAGTATCTGAGAAACCTTCCATTTTAAGATGTCCATTAGCTCGATATAACAGTCCAAGTCCAGGAGCTCTTTTAAGATATCGTAGAATATAAATGACTGCCTCCCAATACGGTACTCTAGGACACTCCATGAACTGACTTACTATACTGACTGCATAGGAAATATCCGGTTGAGTAATAGTGAGATAATTAAGCTTTCCAACCAATCTGCGATACCGACCCGGATTCTCAAACAGTGTACTAGCATTCATCAATAATTTCTGATTCGAATCCATAAGAACATCAATAGGTCTACCCCCCCAACAAACCTGCTTCCTCTAGCATGTCAAGTATATATTTTCTCTGTGATAAACAAATACCTTGTTTAGATCGAGCTACTTTAATTTCCAAGAAATTCCTGAGTTTTCTGAATTTCTTAGTATGAAATCGATCTTGCAAGAAGATTTTTAACTTTACAATCCCCTCAGAATCATTTTCAGTAATCACAATATCATCTACATAGACTACCAATAGAACATATCCAGCATCCGTCTGTCTATAGAACACAGAATGGTTTGTCTGACATCGAAGGAGACCAAACTCTAAAACAGCATCTGAAAACTTATCAGACCATGCCCTCGGTGACTGCTTCAAACCATACAAAGATTTTTTTAACCGACATACACTTTTATCATACTCTCCCTGAGTAGTAAACCCAGGCGGTTGCTCCATGTATACCTCTTCAACCAAGTTACCATATAGAAAGACATTTTTGACGTCTAACTGAAACAAGGGCCAATCAAGATTAGCAGCTAAAGAAATCAAGATACGAACAGAGGAAATTTTGGCAATAGGAGAGAAAGTCTCCCCATAATCAACACCATAGGTCTGAGTAAAGCCCTTTGCAACAAGTCGGGCTTTGAGACGCTCAACAAAACCATCTGGATGAAATTTAACAGTATACAATCAACAGTTCGTTTACCAGGGGGTAAAGAAACAAGATCTCAGGTCCTATTATGATATAAGGCATCCATCTCATCCTCTAATCGGGATCAGATAAAGCATCCTATAAATGCTTAAGGATAGATATAGTAGATAATTGAGAGGTAAAACAAGAGAAGACAGGAGATAAGGCATCATAGGAAACAAAATGAGCAATGGGATGATTAGTAACACACGAACGAGTACCTTTTCGAAGAGCAATAGGTAAAGAGTCTAAATTACCTGATGAACCAGGATTAGAAGGCGGCAAGAAAGACGGTACGGACACCTCAGTCGATGGTCGAGGACGATGAGAGTAAACACAAAGAGGTAAAGTAGACGGTAACATAGTAGGCAGCGGAATATTTGAAGATGAGGGAAGAGATGGTGGTACAAGAGGTGACCCAAAGTCTAGATCCAAAGGTTGAGAAGGTGCTGAAAAATATGGAACGGATTCCTCAAATGTGACATCGGCACTAGTAAAGTATTTTCGCAAATAAGGACTGTAGCAACGATACTCTTTCTGTGTGCGGGAATAACCAAGAAATACACATTTGATAGCTTGAGGATCAAGTTTATCAAACCCAGGACCCAAATTGTGAACATAATAGACACATCCAAAAACCTTAGGAGGTAGGAAAAATAAGGGTTTATTAGGAAAAATGACAAAATATGGACTTTGTTCATCTAACATAGAGAATGACATACGATTAATAAGGTGACAAGCAGTAAGAATAGCATCACTCTAAAAATATCGAGAAATATTCATCTGAAATAACAAGGCACGGGTGACCTCCAACAAATGACGGTTCTTGCATTCAGCAACACCGTTCTGTGGAGATGATGTGTAAGCACAGGAAGTCTAATGAATAATGCCAGTTTTACTTAGATAAGTTGAAAAATGATCAGATTTATATTTTCGAGCATTATTGGAACATAAAATACGTATATGACATTCATACTGAGTTTTTATTTCTTTACGAAAGGTCTCAAATATAGAGAATAATTCAAATCGAGCTTTCACCAAAAATAACCAAGTCACACGAGAATAGTCATCCACAAAAGACATAAAATAAGGATATTTATTAGATGAAATATTCTTTATTGGACCTCATACATCATGATGTACCAACTCAAATGGACTAGACACACGATTATTGACCCCATACATCATGGTGATGCTTACTAAGTTAATAAGCTTCACAAGACAAAGACGACACACAACTAAGACTAGGAACTTGGCGCTTTAGATTCTAGAGAGAGGGATGTCCAAGATGACAATGCCATTGAAAAGGAGTAAACGAGGTCCTAAGAGCCCAATTAGTGGAATCAAAATCAAAGTAATATAGGCCACTAGCTTCATGCTCCGTACCAATCTTCCTCTTCGTCTTGAAATCCTGAAAGACACAATAAGAGGGATAAAAGGTTACAGAACAATCGAGAGAATAGGTAATTTTACTAATGGAAAGTAAACTAAAAGGAAACTGAAGAACAAATAACACGGATGATAGGGATATATCAGGACTCAAGTGAGTAGTCCCCAGACTTGAAACTTTAGAACAAGTACCTTTAGCAAGAGTAACACTACGTGTGGAAGTAGCAGACTGATAAGTAAAAAAAGTATCAAATGCACTAGTCATGTGATCAGAAGCGCCAGAGTCTATGATCCAGGGACTGCGGGTGGAGGACAATAAACAAGTGGAAGCAGTACTTGACTGGACAAAAATAGCAGTAGAGGGAGATGGAACAGACTGTTGCTAGGATAGGAACTGGGCATACTGCTCTCGACCCAGCGTAATAGTAACTGACCTAGTGTCTGGTAGAGCTGACCGAGGTATGGAAGCAACAATCGAGGTGTCATCCTGATAAGAAGCCTAATTAGCAGCACCAGAAGGTTTTCCATGTAAATCCCAACAGAAGTCAACAATGTGTCTTCCACGA